CTCTCTCTCTCTCTCTCTCTCTCTCTCCACACTCGCTACACACTGAGCTGTTCTCCAAAAGGAGCTACGCTACTCTTACAATAATGTTACATGTAAACATGTGGATCGCACTTAAACCTGGCCTTGGCCATTTTCACACAGTTGTACTGCGAGCATCAAGTTGTTTTCTTAATCGCCTCTCATTCAGTTATGTCACGTGGAGCGTTCTTTATTGCAGCTTTTGCGTTTTTTGCATTCTCCTCCTTCACAATTTTCATTTCTAGGAAAAATCGACACGTGTTTCACTTCTCCGTCTATTGTTCTGCCTTTTTTCAGGATTACCATAAAATCATCAAACAACCCATGGACATGGGGACCATCAAAAAGCGCCTGGAGAACAGCTTCTACCGCAGTGCTAGTGAGTGCATACAGGACTTCAACACAATGTTCACCAACTGCTACATCTACAACAAGGTAGGTTAAAAGGTACAAAACAGATCTTTATCCATCCTGTTTTCCCTCTCGCTGCAGCCTTATTAAGATGGCACCACTCTCTCTCACAGCGGGAATAATACAGGGTTATTTAAAGCTCAAGGTGCTCGGGACAGGTCCAGACCCAGGTCCAGACCCAGGTGTTCTCTCAGGGGTTTTCTTAATAATGTGAGAGAGGGAACATTTTTCAACCTTTTCTTGATTACCAGTGAGAAAAGGGTCATCCAACACTTTGCATCTGGGATGTTTTCCTATGTAATAACACAAGAGGGAAAATGAAAATGCTGCCGTTGCAGATTTAGTGGAGATCCATTACCAAATAATTTTTTTACAAATCAGACAACTTCTCTGGAGATGTAAATCCAGGTGTCTTGGTCAATGGGTGTCTTAAGTGGTAGATGCAGAGAATCCCCAAAACTTTGATTCTATCTTAGCATCACCGGAGATAGTTTTCACCACAAGCTTCATCCATATATCACTGTTTTTACATTTCATTTGTAATATATCAGAAAAAATGACAAACTTGAGGACAAGTTGCGAGTATTTGTGAAGTTTTGTCGAGCAAATGTTCGGTATAAATATTGATGTTTTAACTAAAACAGTGATTAAAAAGTACATTGAAATGAAATCAAATGAATGTCAAAAGAACTGTTCTGTTATGTAAACGTGTAATGGCATCTTTGCAGTGTGCTAATGTTCTTTGTTCTATTATTTCCTTTGCTAGCCGACGGATGACATCGTGCTGATGGCTCAGCCCTTAGAGAAGATCTTTCTCCAAAAAGTGGCCCAGATGCCCGAGGACGAAGTGGAGCTGCCTCCTCCAGCTCCTCGAAGCAAGAACGGCCGGGGAAGAGGTCGCAAGTCCAACTGTAAGTGAGAAGACTTCCACGCTCACATACAGCTCAGCAGTTATACTAACTCTTCCGTTTGATGTATCATGTAAAAGTAGCGTTACTGGTGGAAGCCACATAGAAAGCCGTGCATGTCTCCAGTGATTTTAGACAGAACTTGTTGTCACCCGTCATTCTGTAGCTGAATTCTATCACTAATGTTGAATATTCATGTCTCACCAGCGAGGGCTCAGCAGGTGCCGGCGGTGTCCCAGTCGGCCTACTCCCCGTCTTCCTCGGACACGGGGGAGTCCATGCTGGCCAACTCTCCCCAAACCGTGGTGACCAAAAGCCTGCCACCGGCCACCATCATGGGCCTGCCTCCTACACAGCCCACAACCAAGGTAGATGGAACAATCTAGTGCTGCACTGAATAGAATGAAGCTTCATTCATAACGTTGGCATTCGAATGCTGCTCAGCCCTTTTTTTTTTTTTTTTTTTTTTTTTCTTTTTTTTTCTCTGCATTTCCATTCATTCAGTTGCAGATAAAGATCAGTCTGCACTATTGTTATCAGCATGACATTATTTTTATAATTATATTCCAGTGGTGAGCTTACTAGAAAAGGTTCAGGCGGGCGGGTGACGAAGCAGCATTCCAAGTTATTTATTGATAACTTAGGAAAACATGGCCGCCTCTCCTCTCCTCTTCACCTCTCTCTCTTTCTCTCTCAAACACACAGCGACTGCCACCGCGCTCAGTCCTCTAGTTGTTTTTATGTTGGCAAAATTGATGGATTATATTCTTTAAATAAAGTTGATTTTAAAAAAAAATAAAAAAAAGAGTATTTTTTTTTTTGTTGAATCATTTTGTTTAAATTGAGGATTTTGTCTCAGGATTTTTTTTTAATGGTGATGACGTCATCAATTATGACGATAGATATTCATAAACCTCAATAGAAGCTTTGAATGTAAAAACAACAACATTCGGTACAGCCCTACAACAAAAGAATGTCTGGTCATCTATACATGTATAATAAAAGTCAAACAAGACCAGTAAGTGAGGATTTACTATATTCAATTAATATTCTCTACAAAAACACAAATGTCTGGAAACATTTAGGCATCTTGAAAGGCAGAAGCAATACAGATTTGAGTGCCTATTGTGAAGAAAATGGCAAAATATTTTCGTGTATTCAGCATTTTTGTTGGAGGAAAAAATGTGTTGAATTACAAGTATGAAAGGGATTGGAATAAAGCCACAATACTGAGTATATTGTGACTTCCAAACTCCTTTATTTGTAGAAAAAAGGTGTAAAACGTAAGGCAGACACCACCACCCCCTCCACCATGGGCTTGACTGTGGGCATGTCGGGACCAACGCACATGGTGGGCTTGGGGAAAGGAGGCCACGGGGGCCAGGTCCACGACACCTCCATGCACACCATCTCCTCCATGGGGGGCATGGGCCTGGAGACCCCACCTGGGATGGGCCTGGTCAGGAGCCCCGGAGGTCCCGTCCTGCTCCAGCCGATGATGGCCGGCGGTGGACGCAGGGTGGGCAGCGGGCGTCCCATCAAACCCCCCAAGAAGGACTTGCCTGACTCCGTGCAGGCTCAGCCCTCTAAGAAGAGCAAGCTCAGCCCTCAGCTGAGGTACTGCAGCGGGCTGCTGAAGGACATTTTGTCGAAGAAGCACGCTGCGTACGCCTGGCCTTTCTACACACCTGTGGACGCAGCTGCACTGGGACTCCACGACTATCATGACATCATTAAGTGTCCCATGGACCTCAGCGACATCAAGGTGACTCCTCATATGCCTTTAACTTGTGGAAAGACTAATGGCCCATTGTTATAGCTCCTATTGTGTTGCTGATTACACAGTAAAGTGGTTTCAGATCTCTTAATGTCCTTATTTTAAATCTAACGCACTGTGATGATGAACACAGAGACATTGGGGCTGAAAATATGCAGTGTAGTGCAAATTATTAAGAAATACAAACGCTGATAAAACCTCCTGAAGGTGCGGTTGAAGCTCTAAAGTTGTCCTCTCCTGTCTCTTCATCAGAGGAAGATGGACTGTCGTGAGTACAGGGACGCGCAACAGTTTGCCAGCGACGTCAGACTCATGTTCTCCAACTGCTACAAGTACAACCCACCGGACCACGATGTCGTAGGCATGGCCCGGAAGCTGCAGGTGAGCCCAGCTGTCCAACCCTGCTGTCGGGATAATCGGACTGAAACAAAAGTGCAGCCGACTGTGAGGAAACTCTTTCCCGTGACTGTTAATTTCTCTCTGATTTGGCCTGTCCCCAGGATGTGTTCGAGTTCCGTTTTGCCAAGATGCCAGACGAACCACGTATGGATCACACAGCCATGTCGCTGAGTGGCCACCCAACGTCCTCGTCGTCCTCCTCTTCCTCCTCCTCGTCCTCCTCTTCCTCCACCTCCGAGAGCGAGCCCAGCAGTGAGAGCGAGGAGAGCGAGAGCAGTCCCAACTCAGACAGCGAGGAAGAGCGAGCGCACCGCTTGGCTGAGTTACAGGACCAGGTGTGCACACAAGTAAGTCCCCCGGTACTTTTTATTCATCCAGGTCTCCAAAAAGGGTTTTTCACAGCGAGTGTCCATTAATTCATTTTTTTTTTTCCCAAACAGCTCAAAGCCATGCACGAGCAGCTGGCTGCCCTCTCCCAAGGCCCCATCATCAAGGCCAAGAAGAAGAAAGAGAAGAAGGACAAAAAGGAGAAGGAGAAGAAGAAAAAGAAGAAGCTGGAGAAGCGCAGTCGAGCTGTCAGAAGCAAAGCGGACTCTGAGGAATGGAAGATGCCCGGCAAGATCCTGAAAACAAAGTCTGCCAGAGCAGGCGGCTCCCAGCCCAAGAAGAGCCAGGGGAAGAAGAGTAACAAGAATAGCAAGTTAGTAGTCAGCAGATTACCATCAAACTGTTCCTCCTCTTCACATCAAGAGTTTTTGAAGCTTGTAAATGTAAAATAACACACAAAGATAATCGTTTATCTAATAGGAATATGTCAAGCAGCTGCCAATGATGGCCTTCTGTCCTGACTGTCTCACTTCCTCTTGATTCTGCAGGACCACGAAAAAGCCCTTCTACCCTCCTCCTCCTCCGCCCACCTCCATGCTGCCGCACTACGACTCTGAGGAAGAGGAGGAGATCGTGCCCATGTCCTACGATGAGAAGCGCCAGCTGAGCCTCGACATCAACAAGCTGCCGGGGGAGAAGCTGGGTCGCGTGGTCCACATCATCCAGTCCAGGGAGCCGTCACTGAGGGACACCAACCCGGAGGAGATCGAGATCGACTTTGAGACGCTGAAGCCGTCGACACTGAAGGAGCTGGAGCGCTACGTCATGACCTGTCTGAGGAAGAAGCCCCGTAAGCCGTACGGCGAACAAGGTAAATGAGACGATCAAGGGAAGACATTCACTTGAGTGTAGACTTCAGAAGGATGTTGTGTGGTACAGCTGTAAGACGGACATTACTGACTGACTTTGTTTGGTTTACACAGAGCTCAGACCTGCCAACATCTATTTATTTATTACTGACAATCTCACAGTCGAATTCTCGCAGTGAGTGCAAATTGTGGTCATGATGTGAAGGATCGTTCATAAATAACAACATTGCTGTTTCATAATTAAAGAATAGGCCTGCATTCATTAATCAGAGCACTCTGATAAGAACGTGGCACTATTAGAGCGCTCGATATATTTTGAATTTATGAATCATTCTCTAAAAATGAGCTGAAAAACAGGCGCAAAACAGCTGTTTGTGTTGCTGTAACAGCTGTTACAGCAACACGCAGTGTTGCGGCTTGCGTCTCTCTCTCTCTCTCTGGTTGACTGTCCCTCCTCTTCCCTTCTTCTGTGGACTGCAACAATGTGAATAATGTGACACACAGAAGGGAGAGGAGGGCTCGTTTTCCTCCTGAGTAAAGACTGCTGGATAAGCTCCTTAAGGGCCGATACAGTGATGTGGAAAGTTGATTATGTATTTGCTGAGTTGGTGTGTAGAGTATGGCAGCACAGTGCTTGATTGGGTCACATCATGAGGCTAAATTAGCTACGCCAACCCGGTGTTCTGCAAGGTTTCCTAAATCCAACTAGCAACCGCACGACCGTGTGGACCTCAGGTCTTTAAAGAACGCTGTCGTCTTTTCAGCCGCAGGAGGAAAGAAAGGCGGCGTTGTGAAGTCTAAAGAGGAGCTGACTCTGGAGAAGAGGAGGGAGCTGGAGAAGAGGCTGCAAGATGTCAGTGGGCAACTCAATTCCGTCAAGAAACCTGCGAAACCTAAAGGTGAGCCTAGCATCCTTAGTCTCCTCATGCACACCACACGCACCTTCAATGTTGCTGTTTAGATGTCATTTATTTTAAGATTATCGTTGTCTTATTATTATAAGACAACGATAAGTTTTTCACATTTTATTTTTACAATCATGGCTAGAAGTAAGGATAGCAAAAAAAGTGGTTTCTGCAGAATAACACTGCCATAAATAAATTGAATGCCATAAATTCTCTTATTTATTGTTGTGTCCTCAGTGGAGAAGCCCAGTGCTGCGGAGACTCACGCCCAGCCAGCGCGCCTCAGCGGCAGCAGCTCCAGCTCCGACTCATCTTCCTCCTCCTCCTCCTCCTCGTCCTCAGACACCAGCGATTCAGACTCTGGTTGAGATCCTCGGCACGGGCTGAGAGAGAGAACACACTAATAACTCAGGGACTTGGGCTGGCCCCGGACACAACACACCCTGAAACAGTTGTGGGCTGAGATATTAGACACCGTGGCGAAAAAACACTCCGAGTGGACTCGTAAAAAGTTTTGAATGTGGAGCTGAGGGACGAGAAACGACATCTCTGTGGATAATCGTAGAAAACAAACACTAAATGCCTTGGTTTCCCCCCCCTCCTCTTTTGTAAATACTTGTACAAATTTATGTTTCTTTTATAAAGAAGAATTTTATGGTGATCCCCCAAAGAGGGAAGCGGAGTAATTTAAAAAAAACAAACAAAAAAAAAAAACGGATGTGGAAAGACTCCAGATGTGATGTGGCTGGCCTCACGCTGTGTCCTCTGTGGTGAGAGAATGGAAGAGTGTTTATTTATCTGTGTTCTTGACCAACATTTCCTCGGACGTTACTGGAGTTTGAACCAGCAACCTTTGTGGTCACAAAGCCTTGCTTTTCTATCATCTGGCCTTTATGTTTACACACGATGTTCTTGGAGTTGAATCTCAGTCTGAGCTTCACGCGGCCTGTTTTTACAGCATGTAGCTCTTGTCGTTTGGAAACAAAGTTGGTTTATAGTACAGTATAGAAATGGCTTTACGTACTGTAATTACAAAGTCTGCAACGAAGTAACATAATCATTCAGTTTGTAATGATTTTGATGGCTGCGCGGACTTTAAAAGAGCAGCCGGTGTTCTAAATGTGACACTATTTGTCTTCAGTATTTAAAAAAAAAAAAAAAAAATTAAAAAAAAATCAGCTCTTTGCTGTTCAACTTGGATATTGTTCTCAACATTTCTCTTCGTTACGTCCAACTGGAACTGAAGTGTGCGTTTATTTGATAAGAGCTGAACACTGCTGGGCTTCTGAGTGTTATCAGACTACTGTGCGGGTTTCTTAGCTTCCACATTGATCTCCTGAACATGTGACGTGTTGCATCTGTAGCACTTAGAAACTCAGCGGCGGTTTCTTCAAGAAATCTGCTCTGCACTTACTGGAGCACATGGCGTTGACTGAATAATGCCACAAGTGTCCCCCATAAAGAGAGGACCAAGTCCTCACAGCCCCCATGCATATTTGAAGCTATTATTGAATGTTCAGTGAAAGAATATATGCTTGTATATACTTCAGCTGTATTTGCTGTTGCACAAACTATTGTATTTCTGCTGTTCAGTCTTTCCTTCCTTTTCTTTTTTTTTTTTACATGCTGTTACTTCTCATTCCAGTTCACTGTCCTAGTTGTTTCCTGAGGAGCGTCTCTCTGAAGCATAACTTTCATTTGACAAGTGTGTTTATTAAAATATTCTCTTCTGTACAAGCGGTTTGAGTTTTGTCTGGGATCAGCGGGAGGGTGACTCTTTATATTTCCCTAAATGTGAAGATAATCTGCTTTTATTTATTTTATCTCTAATTTGAATATTTTAGATTTGTTATAACTTTTGGTCAGACAAATTAAGACACAATTTAATGACGGCAACAACCGTTGACACTAGAAGTTGGGAAAACAAATGTATTTATTTGATTTTGTTCTTTGTAACAACACCACTGCTATACAAATACGTATTCTGTAGCAGTATATTGAAGTATGATGTGATATACAATTAACAGGGCTTTAAAAACACATGATAAACTTGAATACATCATGTTAAACAGATGTGCTCTTCTTCTTATATTTCCTCCAGACAGGTGCACAGAGTGTGACTCTGATTGTCCTCCACTAGGTGGCAGCAGTTCCTCACGTCATAAACCCGTGGACATGCCTCCAGTGTTGTCAAGGTGGAGACATTGTTGTGACTGAGTTACAAGCACTGATTGGTATGTAATAGGAAGTCATCTCGGCCTGTGAATCCGACGGTGTGACTTTAATGTTTGGGAGGGAACGAGCAGAGAAACCCGCTCACTTTGCTGCTTGGAGGAACTGAAATGCGACATGGCGATGGATCTGATCCCGGTGCTGCTGCTTATTTGTCTTCCACAGTACTGTCACGGTAAGTTTTTGTAAAAGACATTTGGTTTTTAAATATAAAGGAAAGTAAGTTCGTTCTACACTGAGGATGCCGTATGTTATGAGAACGCTTCGGTCATTCGAGAAGTACCATTTCATTTGGATGAGCCATGTAAGAATCAGTTTATGAAACACCTTTTTGTCTGCCATTACATTATAGAATCTCTATTTTCTTCCATATAACAACTTTATTTCACAATAGAAATCATCAGGGTTGGTCACATGCCAGCTGATGGAGACAGAAACAACCAAAATGTTGGCAGCAGTTTGGAGGATGTCTGGTGTTAATTCTCCATAGACGCCAGCTTTGCTCCCAAAAACAATTTGACACCATCATATATTATATATCATATCGTATGTTTTCAATCTTTCCTCACAAACTGCAGGTAAACACCTGCTTCGCTTTCTGACCTTCTGTCAGAGGAACGTGACGAGTGACGAACAGTATGATATTGAATATGATGGCGATCAGCTCCTCTACGTTGACCCCGCCACCTATGAGGCCGTTCAGCGTCTGCCAGAGTTTGCGGAGCAGTGGGTCCCTGATCCTGGACTGGGTCCAGACGCCTACGTGTCCCTGGGTACCTGCCTGTACAACGTCCCTCGAGCCGCAAAGGGAGAAGATTACCCCGAAGAGGTCATAGGTGAGGGAGTTGATGCACTGATTGTAGGAGTACTTTTAAAGATGTTGGAGCCGAAGTAATAGTCACCTTTAATGCAGAAGAAGTACTCGGATCATTCGGTTAAGTACAAGTACCAATACAACAATGTAAGAATACTGTATTTTAAATAAAAGTCCTGCATTGTAAATCCTACTTATTATTAAATGCTAAATCTAATTATAGTGTCAAAAGTCAAAATACCAGCTATCAACTAAATGTAAAAAGTTTCCTTTAACATAAAGTAGAAATACTAAAAGAATAATAAAAAATGATAAGTCCAGTACTTGAGTACAATTTCCACCACTTCCTTTAGTTCCTTCAGAGGAATGGTCAGATGATCTCCGTCTGAGCCTCTGAAGCTGCAAATAAAAGCGGTTAAATACCAAAAATACAACAACCGCCAGTAGAGAGTCACGCTGCTGGGTTCGTCTTTCCAAAAACTAGATTATATCCTCACAAGAACAAAAGCCAGTGAAACAGATGTAATGGGAGCGACAGTAAGCTGTGTTGTTGAACACAAGTTAATGAGACGAGTGCTCTGGTGTGTGTTCTTAAGAGAAGAACCAGGGAACCAGCAGGGACAATCTCTGCGAGGTGCAATTAACCTCTCTGGGTGTGTAATCATGCTTGTATTGTCAGTGCAGGTTAAAGCGCCTGCCATTGTTTATTGTGTAGCTCTGCACTGGGGAGTTCCCATTAATTAGCTTTTCATGACACTGCTGTGTGTGTGTATCTATGACAATCTTCCGCTTGTTCGGGATTTAATGACACAAAATGATCTGGAAATGCAAGCGCATGTATTCCTTTATATCTATGATTTTAGTTCCTTTAAGACTGTGTGTGCCGTGTCACAGAAATCCCAACATTGTTTTTGCTTTGGGATGATCAAAGCCACAACCTATCATTTGATATTTGACTCATTGCCAAGGTTGGAATCTTCAAGTGCCAATTAAGATTTTCAATGACTTTAAAGTGGCCAGTCAAAATGTTTTTAGTTTTTGGCCATGTCGTGTAACTTTATCTTCCTCTGCTAAACATCAACCCTGCAGCCAGTCCCACCTCCATAATCTACCCCAAGCAGGAGATGGAGCTGGAGATCCCCAACACACTCATCTGCTTCGTGAACGACTTCCATCCGCCCACAGTCAACATCGCGTGGACCAGGAACGGGTGGCCGGTGGACCCCAGTTTGGTCAGCCAGACTCAGTACTACTCCAACAGCGACTTCAGCTTCCGCATCTCGTCCTACCTGGACTTCACTCCGCAGGAGAGCGACATCTTCTCCTGCAGCGTGGACCACATCAGCCTGAAGGCGCCTCTCACCAGGTTTTGGGGTAGGTCGGTCGTAATGTGATGAGTCAGCGGGTGTAAAATTAACGGAGGCTAGCACCATGGCTCTAGGAATTGCATTTATTTATCCATCCATCCATCCATCAATCATCCATCCATTTATCCATCAATTTGTCCATCCACCCATCCGTTCATCCATCAATTTGTCCATCCACCCATCCGTCCATCCATCCATCCATCCATTCATCCAACCATCCATTCATCCATCTATCCATCTATTCATCCAGCCATCCATCCAAAGAGGAATTCATAAGTCACACATAAATGACATTTATTTGGTGTGTTAAACATATTTAACAATTATTTTGCATCTGCAGTAGAAAGTAGGGCTTCAGGTGACAGATGGTAACTTTTGTCGGGTATCAAATATCAGCAAGTGATATTTGGCAGGATATGTTTGGCGCAAAATGTTGGCAACAAGCAGCTTTAGTATACAGGCTGGAATCAGCCTGCAAAACCTCCCATCAGTAAAAGCCTCATGCTCTCTATCTGTGTGTCTTTTCCCACAGTGGTTGAACTACACACAGACCAGCAGGTTGTAGAGACGGCGGTGTGTGTTGGTGGTGTGATCCTGGGGCTGATTGGAGTTGTCACAGGACTCTGGTTCATCATGAAAGCCAACAAGTCCTGCCAGACGTGAAACGCATCAAGACAAACACCTGAATTTCGATGTCAGATGCGTGATGGCCTTGATCTTTTCTCCCTTGTGTTTTTCCCCTGGGAGTGAGATGAAGTGAACTCTCTTTTTTTTTCCGACCATAGTTGTATTTTTTTTCTACTGAAATATTATACGTCGTCTTTGTCTATTTCTGCAACAACAATGGATCGAAACCTGGGCTAAAAACACATCAGTTAAATGTTAAATGCAACAGTTTGACATTTTGGCACTCAGGTATCTGTGCTGTAATTAAAAAGCTTCTATCAGGAGATGGTATGGTTAGCTTAGCTTAGCTTAGCTTAGCCCAAAGACTGGGAACAGGTGGAAATAGCTAGACTGCCTCTGTCCAACAGTGACAAAATCCCCCTACCAGCACCTCTTATTAGAAAATAAATATTCCGGCATACAACCCCCAATAAAAAGGCAAATAGCTGTTTTTTTCCCGCTTTACTTTTTGTTTTGATTAAACAGAAGAGATATAAAAAGTTAAATAGTGAGCTTAGTGAGCTAGCTGTAACCTTATATTTCACAGATAAAAAATTGGTATCATTTATTGGCATCCAAGTCTCTTCCACATCGCAAATTTCCCAAAATGTCAAAAAAATAGAAGAATCCTTAGTTTAGGCTGAAGTAGCTTTTTTAATGAATTTGATAAAACATTGTCTGCAGTGGACACATTGTCTTTTATTTTACAGAAGAATGTATTTATTTTTTCTACCAATAAAATGCAGAAGAAGTGTTTCCCACATTGTACCACAGTATCATGTTTGCAGCTTATTATACAAATAAAGCACATGATGGAGAAGTTGAAAGTGTCTGTTCCAATATAATGTCGTGCTACATACAAAACCACATTGAAATGAAAGAGAACAATTCCCCCACAGCCTCGCTCCTGTGTTTATTAACCCTTCATCACAGCAGCCTGTGTGAGCACTGGCAGGCTCACAAAGTCACCATCAATTATCACCACACCGACTACGCTTTTGGGCATATTGCTGCTCCTGCAGTGCCGGCCTGACACAAATAATCAGTCAATAATGTTTTGTCATGTCTGCTTGCTCGTGTGTTGATACGGACACAGAGTGGCGATGCTCCAAACTGCCTCTTTTTTTCTCTCTGCTGGATTTATTTGGCTCGGCCCGGAATCTAATTATTTTCCCAGTGATTGATAAGATAGCTGCCACATTTTTTACATGAAAGTGTGTGGAGCTTCTGAAGGATGTATTTCAGACCTCAAACACACAAAAAAATATACTGTAGCTTTTGATTTTGCAATAAAAAGTATGTATACCGTGGTGAAGAAGCAATTCATACCTTGGAGTGAAAGACAATACCAGACATGGCATTGCATAGGAAGTAAAACTAGACTGACCACATCCCCCCCCCCCCCCCCCCCCCCCCCTTCCCCGTTTCACATGTAAATATGCCACCGAGAATGATCTCCTATTTAAGATTTCTCAGCATGACAACAAAAGCTCGACTGTGACAACCAGAAAGACCTGTTCATGTCAGCATTGCACTTGCACGATCATTTGCGTCATTTATTCTCATCAGGATGTAGTTTAGTCATTGAGCTTGAGAGGTTTCAGGAGTCTGTAGGCAGCATGCGATGAACTCCATGTTGCTGTATTCAGTGTTCAACAGATGATGGGACTTTACTTTCTGTACAGACTCACAGTCTCTGTTGTTTTACTCTGCAATACACCAGCAGGTAGGTTTCTTATTTATTTTAGCTTGTATTAACGTATAACTATTACGTTATTTGTAACAGTTAAATGAGTGGATAAAATAACATGCAGGCACACTTTATGATGCAATAGAGAAATACTTCTGTAAAACTGAGTTGCTTACACTCAGTTTATAGCTTTTTAGTTGAGACAGAATTTGTTTGAAGAAAATATCCTGTTAAGTGTTTGTTTTGCAGGTATTTGGTCATAAACTAAAAGTCATAAATTAGGATTTTGACCGGATGAAGGCGCAGAATAAAAAGTCAAGATAATTGTGACTCATCCTGAAGAGGAAATGAAAGTTGCATTACATCCAATAGACTTGAGTTGATGTATCGTTTAATTTGTCTGCAGATTCCTTCGTCTTTGAAATAGAACAAAGGAGCTTTTTTTCAGCCAATGTGCAGTAAAACAAATGACTGCCACCGTTATCTGTCTGTACTAACTGATTCTCTGTCCGTTAGGGGGCTATGTATATCAGATGATATATGACTGTGAGTATGGCGACAACATCACTGACGTGGTCTTCTTAGTGAAAAACCTTTTTAACCGGAAGATTGTCACCCTGTATGACTCTCGGGTCGGGAAGTACGTTGGCTTTGGAGAATACGGCATGAGGAACGCGGCCCATTATAACAGCCAGGCTTGGAAAATGGAAGAAAGAAAAAGACAAGTGGAGACTCTCTGCAGATACGACGCAAGATTATTCAGAAGGAGCACACTGGATAGATTGGGTATGTGTTTCTGTGATTCCTACTCATTCTTTGGAGGAGGTTTGGAAACAGGATATTACAGGCCTAACAGTGCCAATTCATTTGGCTTAATTTCCTTCAGTGGAAAAAGGAAACAATTGTTCTCTCTCCGTTCTTTAATTAAATGGCCTGAAGAAAAGTGTTTAGCCCCGGCATCGCTCTTCTGCACTGTGCCTTGAAGCAGCCTCCACATCCAGCAGGTCATTCAGCTAATCTTTTGCTCTAATCATTTCTGCACCCCAGTGCCTCCGGTCGTCAAGGTCCATCCAGCCGAGCCGGCTGACTACGGGAAGAGAACCATGCTGGAGTGCAGCGTTGTGGGCTTTTTCCCCCAGGAAGTGAGGGTGAGCTGGCTGAGAGACGGGGCAGAGGTCAACACCGATGTGTTGTCCACGGACATCCTGGCCGACGGGGACTGGAGCTTCCAGCTTCACTCTTACCTGGAGCTCACACCCAGAAGAGGGGAGAGGGTGAGCTGCAGGGTGGACCACAGCAGCCTGAGGAAGAGCCTGGAGGTGGACTGGGGTAAGAAAACACAAAGCAGTTATACTGATAGATGACTTGGAAATAAATAACACTATTTATAGAATTGAGTTTCTTTTCAAACAATGCAGCATGATGTCCCTAAGGCTTGCTAACTTTATCTTCATGTCACCTTACAACATTGAACTCTTGAAAGGTACTGGATAAGTAACCAAGTATGCTTAAATGCTCATTTTTCCTCTCACTTAGACACCTCTTCACTGGATGCTAAATACCTGAAGATGACTGTGGGGATCATCTTCTTCTTCCTCGGCTTCACTGCAGCCGCTGGTGGAGCAGCTTACTACTGGTGGAAACAGAGGTGTGTTGACGTCAGCGTCCGTATCATGAAACCGTTCTCTTTTCTTCTGTGCCGAGTTCATCGTTTTCATTGTCAGACTGTCGAAAAAACTGGCGCGGTGAAGTCATGAAATGAAACATGTCTTCAGGTTTTGTAACACTTTCTTTTCATGTTCCAGGTTTGACTTCAGTCCATTAGGCAGTCAAGGACACACATCTCCACGGCATCCCTCAGAATTATTGATTTTCTAACAGAATAAGACATAATAAAGCTCAGATAAGAGCCATGTTTTCTTAAAAAAAAGTATCGCCCACAAAACAGAAAATCATCCCTTTCAACATGCATGACGGAGAAAAACGGCATTGTGGGAAGATGAAATGCTGTCAGTTTGTTATGGAACCGTCCCCGCTGACATGGCAGAGCCTCTCCTTTATCATTTTTGTCAACCAAGGACTCAACTGACATGTTATCCTTCAAAAAAGAAAGTGCAATGAATAGTTCCAACGTTGTGTTATGATCATTTTGTAGGATTAAGGTGTCCGACCTGTCACTTACAATGACTGTCTCACACATAAGACTCATGTGTGTGGTCTATATGATCTATATGTCTATTACAGAACAAAGTATTTTATTAATCCCATAAGATACGTAAAAAAATGAAATGTTTTTTTGAAAACTCAATTTAAACTCAACAGAACACAGACAGACAGAGCAGGTATTTAAAGGTGTCGATTCAGAACTGTACACAGAATCATTTCTGGACCTACTGGTTGTGTAACAAGTTACTGTTTGCTAACAAGTGCACCATATCACCCTTCAAGGTGTTACTGCTGCCCCCAAGCTACCCAAGAAGTAGATCATTGTCAGAAAACCTAGGGCATGCAGTGGCAGCTGTGACCCTGTTTGTATTCTGTATGTTGATGTATTTACAGTGGCATGTACAGTTATACTACAAAACGCAAAAACTTACACTGGAATTCATCCGGTCTGTAAAAATGTTTTGTCAGCCTAACATCCTTGCTAATAATTGTCCTGCTATGCATGTAGATAATGTCAGAGAATGTGTACAGATATCATGTCGGCCTATGAAGATGTATGGATCCAGTAATGACACCATAATCCGAGTATTAGGCTGTTTTCCTCAATTCAGTATATATTGACTTTCTCAGTCCACAGTGATACGGTGTGATGTCCGCCCTTTCTGTCACAGTGAGACAAAATAAACCTTTTTCTGCTTATTCAGTGGCACTGCACTTCTCAATCTATAAACTATTACTCTTGGACAACAGCGGCCTTTGCAACGTCGATTACAAGTGTGAAAGGTTCTGTTGCTGCTGGATTTCATCCTGTGGATTACATTTGTGAAGCACGGACCTGTGTTCAATGTTAGATCCCTACTACATTCACAGCATGTTGTGATGCAAAAGATGAATGTGCTGTTACAGAGAGATTCTGTGTTTCTGAACTTCAATGAGAGAAAAAAAACCTCTTCTTTCTCCAACACCAGCTGTTCAATCCCACGCCACTCTGTAAATGATTCAACCCGATAGGAGTGGACTATTTCCGAATTGACTGGGAGGCTATGAGAGCTTTGAGCCTGAACCCTCGGTGCTTGTTAGCTGGCGTTTCGGAGTGAAACACTGACTCACTGCTGTCAACATGGCAAGTCTCTTCACTGCTGTGGCCACGCTGGCTGTGCTGTCCGGTGGGTTGTGTGAGGAGAAAGGCTTTCTGCAGCGAGCCGGCGAGGCCTTCAGCAGCAGACAGCACAGATCTCTGCTCACCGTCGGCAACGGGGAGAAGTTTGGGAACTGGACCTGGCCCGAGATGTGCCCTGACAAGTTCTTTGCTGTCGGCTTCAGTCTCAGGGTAAAGACACCGACTCTGTCACATCTTACAAATATTCAATTTCAAAGAAGAAAAATGAGGGAAACACTCAAAAGACAGAATGAGATCTGTTTGCTGATGTTGAAATAAATACGTCAGAGTTGTGCAGCTTTTACCTTCTCCTTTTACTTTGGATTTGAAAGTGAAGACACAGATATTAAAGCCAACTTGTGGAGAAGCTTGAAGGCAGGTTTTTTAAATCAGCATTCTTTTTGGTCGCATTAATTGTTCCTCCTATCTTTTGCTAACAAGACTTCAGTGTAAGAGATGATGGTTACAATTCCCAGTATTCGTTCTGTGCACAAATGCACTCCTAAATTCAGACAAAGCGGTCTGAGTTAGTCAAATCAAATGTGTTTCTACCAAAATTGTGATCTTTAGAGTTTTAAATTCCCTCAGCGACAGCACCAACAGGGAAACACAGAGAGTGCATTTGTACAAAAGAGACTTTGAAAGAAACTTCCATCTTGTCTCCCCATCTCATATCGGAGTTGCGTTAGAAAAAGATCACTTCACAGCCATCGAGGAGAGGAGGAACGATTACAGCAATCAATCTGCTCCTGTAAACCTGCATGCAGAACAAGTCTGACAAGCCGTCACATATGGGCTTTCACACCAGATTTGGCAGCAGCTTCACCAGAATAAGATAAGCTGGTTTGACCAGAGCTGCTCTGGGAATTGTTCTCTGTTTCCCCAGGTGGAGGCAAACCAGTACGGGGCGGACGACACTGCTCTGAATGGAATCCGCCTCATCTGTGCCAAAGACGAGAACCGAGGCTTCCTGTATTCAATTGAATCCCACACGGGCTAGTAAGTAGCTCGCGAAGGTACCACCTTCTAATGAAGAGCGCTTTATAAAGGGCTAATTAATGGTTAAGCATTGGTTGAAGCTTTATAGATCAGTTGTATGCCATTGATAAATTCCAGTGACCGGTTTTCATCCCTTTTTTGTTGGTAATAATGCATTTATAAACATTATTAACCCTTTAACAGATGCTTATGGGTTTGTGACTTTCTCATAAGCAATTAAGTCAGCAGTTATATATATTATAAGTCATTGATGCAGATTTTTGATCATCAAATATGAGTCCAGATTGTATGTAGTCCTGTTCTACAAGAATAATAAGAATAAGAACTTATACACTTCATTATCACCATAAACTTACCACACCTAAAATACAATAAAATAAGATAATCATCAAATAAGAACAACTAAAAAACAACATAAAACAAAGTGGATCTGGTAAAAATACAACGTGGGTGTAAAATTAATAAAATACTTTAAAAAAAGTATTTAAGCTTTTAAGATTTAAGTTAAAATTGTATTGATTCAAAAGGTCATCTAACCGGTCAAAGGAAGTTTTCACAACCTGGCAACACAAAAGTTATTAGTTTTAATGCCTCATATCTGATGTATGAAGTCATAGTAAATTCTTTATTAACAATTAATAAAGTCAGTGCTTCAACTGCAATAAGTGCTGCACCTGTAAAAAACAGATTTTCATGGCAGTTCGATAAAGCTGCAGCATGTGATTTGATCCTTTACAAGAGAGTTTTGTTTAAAAGTGCGACCGCTGTCAAGCAACTATACATTTACCATTGATCTGTGTACATTTTATGTGTCCTTTAAAATGATTTGTTTAAAATGATTTTTATGTCAGGGAGTGATTCTAATAACTGACATCACTCAACACGTCAATAGAAATATGCTTTCCTTTACCCTCCTTGAGCTCGTCTGCCCCTTCCTCTGAAATGTTGGTTATATGTCTTTAAACATGCAGCTGTTTGTTGCTGGGGCCAGATCTCTCTTGTGAAAGAGATCCTTGATCCCAGTGGGACTAACCTGGCTGTTCTATAAGGTCAAATAAGAGTCAGATAAATAAAGTAGGAAACAGCAGGAAGCTGCAGACGGGCAGTTTCCCATCATGTTCAGAGGGGAAATATAAGAGCTGTGTCTGCCACGATTGCAAATGACTTCCCTCCAGTGTTTCCAGCCCTCATTGGATCTTATCCTGATTTTTTTTTTTGTCCCTCCCCCCTCCAACCCCTCTCTTGCATTTCCTCCTCTCCTGTCCAGCTTCGGTGACTGGTCCCAGCCCCAGTACTGCCCCAGTGGCGTGCTCACCTCTTTCCAGATCCGCGTGGAGCCCCATCAGGGTCTGTTCGGCGACGACACGGCCGTCAACAACATCAAGTTCCGCTGCAGCAGCAACCCGACGCTGGAGGGGCCCGGCACCGACTGGGGGGAGTACGGCCTCTGGAGCCAGGTGTGTCACAATGGAGGAATCTGTGGCATCGAGACCAAGATGGAGGAATACCAGTACGGCCTGGACGACTCCAGCCTCAACGATGTGCGCTTCCATTGCTGTGCCAAGCCTCAGCAGGTAGGACTCAGGGTTGTTTATTAAAAACCAAAATCCCAGAAGTGGTTGAGGGGTTAATGACACATTCACACAATGTAGAGCAGGTTTTTCTGGGTGGATTTACGTTTGGTTTATTTAAAGAAGTGAGAACAATTTTATTTCAGACAGAGTTGCCGTTTACTGTAACCCTACACTCTTACCCTATAACCTGCCGCAAGATGCAAGAACATTCAGCAGTAAAATATTTTATTCTGAGCCCTTTAAGGACTTCTTCACCATGTTGGCTTGAAGGTTCTCAGGGTTTATATGGTCATGAAAAAGTCATGGAATTTGGAAATAGCAATTTCCAGGCCTGGAGAAGTTTGGGAGGAATAAATAAATCCAGAAAGTTTTGGTCCTGTCACTACAGGTCAATAGCAGACCACCTCAAGGTGTCACTCAGACAGAACCAGGACATTCTGATGTAGCATTTCAAAATCAAAGCCCTTCAAAATCTCATTCATGAGACAATTTGTCTAATTTCAGATTAGATTTTAGAGGAAATGGCGCTTAGTTACAAAATCATTTCACTTCAGGTTAAGGTATAAGAAGTTTGCAGGATGACTATGAAACGATTCAAATGTCAAATGTAATATATTCTATATATACAGAGCATTTCATGGCTGTTTATCAACTTGTGTTTGGTGTTTTCGTTGGCAGTGATCGGCAGGTGAACATCCATCAGGTCTGATCAGTTTGATTCAGTCCGTCTCCAACGCCCTCACAGCTGACAAATAATAAACTGCTCGTTTGAACTGCGGCTGTCTCTTTCATGATTTGCCAGAACTTGAAGGTCTTGTTCTGTATTCTGTCAGTTCCTTCCTTTTTAAGAACTCAAATACGCCTGAGATCAGAGTTTAGAGCAGCCGTCTCCAATAAACTGAGTTATTTGTCAGAACACCCGGCTCTCCAAACAAAGTCGAGTCTCACCTTCAGCGGGGAAAAGAGAAAGATTAAGGAGCGCCTCTTCAAACCAAGCCCTCGTCTGAAGAGCCTCTTTTTACATCACGTCGTCCACTCATCACCTTCTCATCAGCGTGAGAGCAGCGTGTTTTCACATCCTGTCTAATGAACCAATGAGCTCACGGCACAGCCGTAGTAAGCGTGAGCCCCAAAACCGAGCCGCTGACACAGGCCTTTCCCAGAATTCCTACCGGAACTTAGATAATTAAGAAATGACAAGAGAGGGGATATTAATTAATTTACAGCTTAAGGCCTGGCAAAGGTTGATAAGAGACACAGAGGTAATTGTGTTAATTAATCGGCGGGCGGTTAATCTGCTAACACAGAGTGTGTGCGGAGAGTTGGGGAGGGGACTGGAGGACGTTATCAAACACTGCGGTAATGGTTTCCAGAAGATTTTGCAAGTCAAGGAAAAGTGATTATAGTCTTCAACACACAGCTACAGGGCGCTTCTCTGTTATGGTAATGAATACACTCAAACTGACCTCATATCTGAAGTTCAAAGTGTGCTCATTGGAGTCAGATGCTCGAGCGCACTCGTTTGGTCCGTTTGAAAAAATGAATATGGGGTTGGAGGAGTGAGCGTATTTCAAGTTTGAAATGTTAAATACATCTATATCCATCGCATGTTTTTGTTTATACAGTTTCTACAGAATGTGATACTGTCAGATAGGAATAAGATGTACATAGGTTTAAAAAAAATAAGTAAAAAGTTCCATCTACCTTAGTTAATCCCTGGTTTAATTCCCCACCTAGCCAGCACGCTAGGTGACCCAAATCAAACACACCTGGACACAGGTGCATGCTGGGTGTGGCTAACATGCTAAATGCTAACATTCTCGTGGGGAAGCTTCCAGGTGACTTCACAGATGAACTTTCACATTCATTAAGGTGTGGGAGACCTTTCTACTGCCTGCACCCTCCCAAGGACAGAGATGCTGAGTGGACTGGTTATACTGGGACAATGAGAAGTTAAATGGACTGTTTATACTGGGACAAAGATAAGTTAAATGGACTGGTTATACTGGGACAAAGAGAAGTTAAATGGAC